GGGAAAAAATTGCACAGTTTCTCCGAATTCTCTAAATGTATGTAATTGGAATTTGGAGGAATAGTCAACTTGCTTGTCTTCAAATACAGTATATGTATCCCAAAAGTAAATAACAATTGGTGCATTTTTTAAAGATTTATTTCTTTTTTTTTTAAATATATTTTTATTGGTTTATGAATTTTTGTGTAATTCCAGGGAAAGTGGAGGAGAACTCCACTTTGCAATACAGGGGGTGCATCTTCTTTGTAAGATAAATTAAATCAGGGGTTAACTAAAATGTGTTAAAGTGATGAGGTTGCCTGTTGAAGCATGACCTCATAAGGAAGACAGAGGAGACATTAAATAACTTATTAACAAATAATTATTCCATTATGTCAAAGGATGGGTGAAAAGTCCGAGCGAAATAAAAGGTAGGGGGTGGTAGGGGGCAAGATCTTCATCCTCCCCCTACTTGCTAGAGATCTGCGAACGCAGAGACTGGACGTACGTCATTTACTCTGAGTCGCTTACTATTAGTAAGGAGATCAGAGGTTAGGCACTGTGTTATATAGATATTATAATCTTACATGGAATAATAAAATCATTGGGGAGACCACAGGTCACCCAACATAAACCATAAATGTTAAACTCTTTTTATTATTTATCTAATATTGCAGTTAATGTTGCTCAGCACCCCCCCCCCCTTTCTTTTCTAGTACCCATCAGATGGTTATTCCTTTGACAAAAATAAATTTTCTGGTTTTTTTTTTACACTGTAAAGGCTTCACAGTATTACGATTTATTCTATTTTCACTTTACGTATGCAACGCACTACATTTTGTAGCGGAGTAAACAGACCCAATAGTCGTGAACTGAGCAGGGGACCTAAGGTCCTAGTTGAGCGTACGTTTTATCCTTCTGCGTAATTATAAAACAACATCAGGATAAGGATTACTAGCATTAAATCAGCAAGCAAAGGAAGCATTAAAATCAGCACCAATGCTGTAACAAAATTATTTCCCTGCACTGTATGGTATCCAATATAGATATTATAAAGTGTAAAATTAATTAATATCTTGATTTTGACCCTGCTCCATGACCCCAATTTTGCTGTTCTGGATATCTAATAATTTTGCTAAATATGAAGATATATTCGAATTCATTGCCTCAAATTATTCGAATCTGTTGTTAAATATATATACAAAATTGACTCAATATCTCCGTGAACTTGAGTTAAAACATTTTCTGTAGTCAACCTTATTTAATTATGTAGTATTCTAATATCAATGGATTATGTTGAAAATTATTATTGTTCGTAAGCGGCAAATTTCATATGACGAAAAGAAAGTAGGTGATATCCAACTACAATTTATACGTGGAAAATTAAAGAGTTCTTCGTCAAAACAACAAAAATGTACAACCAAATGAAATCAAAATTTACAGAACATTAACTTCGTTGGCTTAAATGCTAGAATTATAACATACAGTCAGAAAGAATGAATAAAGTAAGTTCTTATTTTGCCTATCAGTCAATCATTACCCGGCTCTTTAGGATGGTTGTTATATTTCGCATTAACTTAGTGTGTTGATGGAAGGAAAATATTTTAGATGGAGAGAAACATTGCTAGATGTCATTTATGAGTTAAATTTCATATAAAGAATATCTCACCTTGGATAACCCAGCATTGCACAAATTACTCCAGCCTCTGTACTTTTCCAGTTGTTACTACATACCGTACTCCACACCCCGAAAGAGTAGATCTGAAGTCGACCATTGGACGGAGAAGATCCATTAACAAGTCTAGCATCGACAATGAAGTTACGAAAAACTAGACCTACAGAAGAAAACCTTGTTAAGATCAATTAGTTCCGTACAGCATTTGTTGTATCTGTTTGAAAATTAAAACGATATAGGGACACTATGCCCCCAAAAACATATACGTGTATAATTTTATAAACATTTTTATTTCTAGGATGTATGAAAACTCAAAATTTCATTGAGTTTACTGTCGATAAAAAATGTATACACATTGTAATAAATATTGTTTAAAAAAATTTAAATGACAATTTCGTTTGATAATGAATTTCTCTCAAGCTTCATTGTGGTTTAATATGTTTTTTAAGGATATGGATATCAACTGAATTCTAATGTTTTAGTGTAGATTTATACTACATTTGATCTAGTATCTCGTTAAATACTACAATAATGACAAAAAAAAAACAAACATGCAATTTAACTTGAAAGAAGACGAAAAAATCTAACAATTTTGAAAATTTATTACCTGAGCAAGAAACTCTAGCATGGTTTCTATATATACAGTCGTGATATCCATATTCAGAATGTGGGCACATTTTGATATCAGTCTCAGTTCCATTACATTTGACATTATCAAGCCAGATCTTTACCCTTGCTCCTTCGTGTGCGAAAAATCCAGGAGCAGATGCAAGAGCTTTTCCTCTTTTTATGAAAAAAAATTGTTTAATTATCGTTTAAAATATATAATTATGATCCTGGGATGATGAGCAGGGGATGCATACTCCTCCATGGCACCTGATCCCACCTCTGATGTTTTGAAGGTCCGTGTTTGCCCTGCTCCTATTTTGTATTGTTTTAAGGGCTTTTGATCTTGAAAAACTGTTCAATATATCCACATCTTTCATCTAAGAATATTTCTCTTTGCATTTTAAAAAAAACCTCTTTTTTGGTAAACTGCGTATATATTGAATTCTCATTTTTTACGAAAGGAAAGAGAAAGGGAAGAGAAATTTCAAATGCCTTATAAACATAGGTTTAAATATGGAAAGGTTGCAAAAATACTGAAAGGCAGAAGTTACACTTCTTGATCTGAGTCTTGAGACAAGATGAGTAGAATTTTAGGGGTACATCAGCGACCATCATTGCAAATTATGAAATAAGATCATATAATCTAAAGTCCTTTCGGAAACTTGTTTATATATAAAGAGCAGTCTGAAAAAAAATTCCTTAAAGTCTTTTGATCATATAAAATTTTAAATTCCATTTTACAACCCCACTGGCGTCGCAAATCATTTTTTCACACTTTGCACTGCAGACATGAAAATGCTTATTTATAACAGTTATGTTGCTAAATAATTTTGGGATGGAAATTTTTAACTGATTAAAGGCCCTTTCAAATTTAGCTCAGGAGCACTTTACAACACTTTGCGATCAGAAAATTTAAACTTCGCACGAGCTCTCGCATACGTTACACGAAGTCTCGCTTTCGTTGCATGTGTTTTAGTGGTCGCATCAAGTCTCCTCAAAAGAATCAATATGCATACTATTCAGACGCGACCAAATGCGATCCAAATTATCGCAATTCAACGCATGAATATTCGTACGAACGTCTTACAACGTTTTATGTACTCGTAAGAGTGATACACGATTTTAAAAGATCGTAAGATGAATCGCAGCTGTCTTTGTTTGTGTTTTGCGTTTTGAGATAGTTGCTCAATATGTCTCATGTAATCTTGTAACATTTTACTATCATTGCTTGATTTATCGGCTTCAATTGCCAAGCATTGCAAAAGGTATATATACCGTGTATAATTATAACATCTTAGGCCACACCAATTTAATTTTTGCTCTGCGGACCCCTCGCGCTCTTATTAAACAGAACTAGACAAATTATATTAATTTGAATTCCCCGCATCCAGAGAGTTCTGGGCTGCTTTCCGTTCTATTTCCGCCCTTTTTTCCTATTTTACATCTGTTGACTGTAAAAATCAGAAAAAAAAGAAAATTTTGATTGTCCGCTCAATTTGGCCTTCAATAAGGTAATGATATTAATACTTTATCGCTTACAAATGTTCAAGATTTTCACATTGAGTTCAATGGTCATACTATTCATTCTATGGAAAAAGTTAGATACTTAGGAATTTTTATTGATCAATTTTTGAGTGGCGAATTCATTATTGAGTCCATTGTTAAAAAGTTAACAATAGGTTGCGTTTTTTAAACAGACAAGCTCGTTTTTTAGATATAAGAAGTAAAATGCTATTATGCTCTGCTCTTGTTCAATGTCACTTATGTAGTGTCTTACTATTGCGAATGTATTGTAACGAAATGGACTATTTCATGTACGAGTTAATTAGATAAAGTAATGGAGCCTTGAATGGTGTGTTATCTTATATCTTCGGTTAAACCGGTAACATGGTGGTAATCTGTCGTGACATCACATAATTTGGTGACGAGGATTAATCGGGAAAGCCTGTTTGATAATTACGTCAAAAATGAAAGCTATTGAATTAGGAGGCATAGCGAAATTTGACCCGAAAGGCGATGTAAACAATGTGGGATTTCGATGGAAAAAATGGCTGCGTGGTTTTTCACTGTACGCCGTGGGAAAGGGGGTCACAGATGCTGGTCAAGTAAAGGCATTATTGTTACACTCAGCTGGAAATGACGTCCAGGACATTTACTACACGTTGGAAGAAAGAGAACCGGGACACAATGAAACTGTGTATGACGTCACATGTAAGTTATTGACTGACCATTTTTCACCTTTGAAAAACGTGCCGTATGAACGTTCACTTTTTAGAGCAACTTCACAGCACGTAAATGAAACTGTTAAACAATCTATTACTCGTTTGCGTGAACGAGCTGTTTATTGTGACTTTGGAGGAGCACAAGATGAAATGATAAGAGACCAAGTTATAAAGAAGTGTTTGTCACATAGATTACGTAGAAAACTGTTGGAAATGAAAGACTTAACTTTAGAGAAAGTTAGACAGACCGCTCAAGCTATTGAGTTTGCGGACAAACAAGCTTTAGCCATGGAAGGAAAAGATGCACAATTGTGTCTACAGAACAAGCTTCAGGAACTGTGAATAGAGTTCAGCACAGAAATAAGAAGAAATTACATGTACCCGTTAGTGACATAATATGTTTCGCATGTGGAGAGAGAGGCCATATGAAAAAAGATTCAAATTGTCCAGCGAAGAAGCAATCGTGTCGTAAATGTGGGAAAGTAGGACATTTTGAGAAAATGTTCAAGACTAAAATGACTAAGAAAACAGGACATAGATTCCGGATGTTAGATGATGCAGCTGCAATTGAATATGCGTTCACCGTAAACCATCACAACATGAGTGAAAATAAAAGTATTTTCATGGATGTATTTGTGAGTGGAGTTCAGACCAGACTACTAGTGGACTCTGGTGCAACTGTCAATGTCATAAGTAAGAAATTATGGGAATTCATGAAGACCAACAAAGTGAAATGTGTGAGCCAGAAATCATCCAAGGAGTTATATGCATATGGACGGAAGCCACTTAGTGTCATAGGAACTTTTCTAGCAGATTTTGGGCTTGAGGATTCTAGGAGGATCAACACAGAGTTTTATGTAATTGAGGAAGAAGGACCAGGAATTCTGGGAAAAGATTCTGCTTCACAACTAGGATTATTGATGTTGCAGATTCCACACGTAAACATAAACAGTACTGATAAAAGAGCTCATCTGAAAAACAAATTTCCAACATGTTTTACTGGAATAGGGAAACTCAAAGATTTCAGTCTCAAGATTCCAATAGACTCTGATGTGACACCTGTAATACAACCTTTCCGTCGTATTGCATATCATTTGCGTGAAAAACTTGAACACAAGTTAGATGAACTAGTTTCGCAAGATATTATCGAGAAGGTAGATTAACCGAGTCCATGGGTTTCGCCAGTAGTAGTAGTACCGAAGAGGAATGATATCCGATTGTGTGTGGATATGAGACAGGCTAATCAAGCCGTGTTGCGTGAAAGGTACCCTATACCTTCTGTAGATGAAGTACTACAGGACTTCAACCAAAGTACAGATTTTTCTAAACTAGATATTAAGGTAGCCTACAATCAGATAGAGTTGGATCGTGAGTCGCGACAAATAACTATATTAATGACACACAAAGGAATGTATCGCTACAAACGATTAATGTTTGGTATAAGTTGTGCGCCAGAAATGTACAACAAGATAATACAACAGACACTTGATGGGTTGAGGTTGTTCAGAGCATTTCGATGATATTGTGGTGCATGGAAAAACTACGGATGAACATGATAGACGACTAGATGCAGTATTACAAAGACTGTGTGATCGTGGACTTACCTTGAACATTGAGAATTGTCAGTTTAATATGACTCATATTGAATTCATGGGTCATATTCTCTCCAAGCATGGAATTGGCATGGCATAGTCAAAAGTGGAGGCTATCCTGAATGCGAGGAAACCAGAAACAATTTCTGAAGTTCGGAGTTTCTTAGGATTGGTAAACTTCAGTGGTCGATTTATTCCGAACCTGACGACTACTGCAGAACCGTTACGGAAGTTAACACGTAAAGATGTTCCTTTCAAGTGGGGACCAGAACAAACTCGAGCATTCAAGGAACTGAAGAATCAGTTATCAAAAGTGGACACACTGGGCTATTTTGATCCACTTTCACAGACGATAGTTACAATAGATGCAAGTCCGGTTGGATTGGGTGCTGTACTTGTCCAGAAACAAGGATCTGATTATCGAGTTATTATGTACGCCAGTAGAAGTCTAACTGATGTGGAGAGATGATATTCGCAAACAGAAAAAGAAGCATTAGGACTGATATGGGGTTGTGAGCGTTTCCACATGTATCTCATTAGATCGAAATTCGAATTATGGACAGATCACCAACCTTTGGAGTGTATATTTTCACCCAAATCAAAGCCGAGTGCAAGGATAGAACGATGGGTTCTCAGACTACAATCGTTTGACTACATTGTCAAATATATATCTGGAAATCGGAACATTGCAGATTCTTTGTCAAGACTTGTTCCTAAATTGGCAAGATCACTTCCAGAAAATGATGATACTGAGGAGTATATTCGTAATATTGCCATAGCAGCTACACCTATAGCTCTGTCGGCAAAGGAAATTGAACTTGCATCCGAGACTGACCAAGAACTTTGTGAGATTCGTAAATGTTTACTTTCGGGACAATTGGAACGTTGTGAATTAAAGGAATACTAACCAGTTAGACATGAACTTTGTGCAGTTGGTCAAATCATTCTACGTGGTACCAGGATTGTTATTCCAAGATGTTTACGACCAAGGATTTTGGAATTAGGTCACGAAGGCATCCAGGAATTGTGGTAATGAAACGAAATCTGCGATCCAAAGTTTTCTGGCCGGGAATGGACAAAAAAATGGAAAAGACTTGTAGAAGTTGTTATGGTTGTTAGTTAGTCAGTACACCATCTAAACCTGACCCGATGAATAGAACTCAACTACCAAATGCGCCTTGGGAGAATCTTGCTGCAGACTTTCTAAGACCGTCGCCGTCGGGAGATTCATTGTTCGTACTGGTGGATTATTATTCTCGCTACAAGGTTGTGGAAGTCATGAGATCTACTACAGCAGAGAAAACAGTGCCGGTTCTGAAGAAAATTCAGTATATTTGGATTACCAGTGTCAATTACTGCAGATAATGGACCACAGTTTGTGAGTGAAGTTTTTGCATCCTACATGCATAAAAATCAAATTCAACATCATAGGATAACTCCATTTTGGTCTTAAGCGAATGGTGAAGTTGAGAGACAAAACCGTTCACTGATGAAGAGGATAAAAATCGCACAGACTGGAAAAAAGAATTGGAAGGATGAGCTGGATACCTACCTGATGATGTACCGTCCGTCCGAATTGATGTTTGGAAGGAAAATGCGAACTAAAATTCCGCAAATGGTTTATTTCCATATGGATGACTTCGAAATACGTGATCGAGATTCAGAGATGAAGGAAAAGGGGAAAGATTACAATGATAAGAAACGAGGAATGTGAGGTGAATCCAGGAGACAAAGTTCTCGTTAAGCAGCAACGTAAGAACAAGTTATCGACAACTTTTAGTCCGGAACCTATGGTTGTTAAGGAGAAACATGGAAACAGAGTTACGTTAGATTCAAATGGAGTTGAATATGATCGTAATGTCACACATGTCAAAACGTTAATGGAGAAACCGTTAAACCAGGCTGAAGATGTTCGTGATGTACCAACGCCGACTCTTGTGACACCGCCTAAACCACATGTTGTTCCGCCGCCCATACCTGATGTCGATAGTAATGAACCTGTACCTGAACCGTTGTCTGGTACTGGTAGACCTCAACGCACAAGACGGTTACTAGCCAAATGTTATGACTTTGTCATGTGAACATTATGATTTTGTTGTAAACATATGGACAGTTAAAATAATCAAAATAATTTAATTATTATGTTTTTTATGTAAAGTTATAAGGATAATCATTTTCTTAAAATGTTGGATAACAAAAATGATCATTTAGAATTACAATGTTATGATAGTTACACTTTTCCAAGAACAAGTGGAAAAGGAGGTGGTGTTGTAATTTTTGTTAAAAGCATTTTGGATATAAAAATATCGGTAGTTGATAAATTTTGTAACTCCGTGGTGTGGCTACAAGTTGAAAATAAGTTGAACGTGCATTGTAAACCAGTCTTTATTGCTGCATGTTACATACCGCCAGAAAACAGTGTATTCTATAAAAAAGAAAATGTTGATTTTTTTCAATATCTGAAAGAATCTTATTCTAATTTTTACCACAAAGGTTGCGTATATGTCACAGGCGATTTTAAAGCTAGATGTGGAAATCTAGAAGATTTTATTCTTAACGATGTATTTGAAGAATCGTAACGAATAACATACAGTTTTTGGTAAACTACGACACGACGCATGCAAACGAAACTGGTAGATTTAGTATGGATAAAGGAATTAATAATTTTGGTAAAAAATTGATAAATTTGTGTCAAACTACAGGATTACGCATTGCTAATGGTAGAAAGGAAAATGATTGTAATGGCAATATTACTTTTTTTAATGCAAACGGTACAAGCACTATAGATTATTTATTGACGGACATGAATACATTAGATACTGTTTTTAATTTCCAGACGGGGAAATTTAATATTTTTTCTGACCATGCACCTCTTACTTTTGTCATAAAAACTAATTTCTTAAATACAAGTGTCGAGTATACTGAAAATACCAAAATAGGCAATGAATATGAATCTAGGATTTTATGTAAATCAGTCAAATGGAAAGAAGGTTCTGATCTTGATGCTATTAGTACAGTATGAGAAATTCAGGATGTTTTTCTTTCATATGTCGATAAATCATTCAATACACAAGAGGAGGTAGATATTTCTGTGGAGAATTTCAGTAAGACATTATGTGATATCATGACACCTTTTTGTAAAGTCACTGACGGTCTTGTACAAACAGATCGGAAAATAAGTAATGATAAACCCTGGTTTAATGACATCTGTAAGTCTTAATATAAAGAGTATAAAGAAAGTCTACACATATTTGATACTAATAAATGTTCTGTGAACAAAAACTCACTTTGTGATAAGAGACGTGATTTAAAAAAAAAACTGCAAAGAAATATAGGCACATCTAAGATACCAGGGAAATAACATGGAATATTTAAAAAAGCATAACCCAAAACAATTTTTTAAGTTATTTAATAATAAGAAAATCTAGATAATGATATAACAGCAGATCAATTTTTGAACATTTTAAGAGTGTTTTTGAGAACAAGAACGAATCTAACGATACTGAAGACAGTGTTGAACACCACTCAGCTTCGTGTTCTGAGGAACTAAATACGTGTATATCGGAATTAGAAGTCGAGAAAGCAATTTTGAAACTCAAATGTAACAAGAGTAACGCAGATGATGGTGTAATTAATTAATTTTTTATTAAATGTAAAGAAGTTATGATTCCTATTCTATGTAAATTATTTAACAATATTTTTGATTCTGGTATGTATCCAGATAGCTGGTCAAAGGGATGTATTGTACCAATTTTCAAAAAGGGCGAATTACATGACCCAAATAATTACAGAGGCATAACTTTGGTTAGCTGTCTAGCGAAATTATTTACATGTATTTTGAATAATAGATTGTTAGAATGGGACCAAAAATATAATATTATTACAGACGCTCAGTTTGGTTTTAAGCCAGGTGCAAGTACAATTGACGCTATTTTTATTTTACAAAGTTTAATTAACAAGACATTGAGAAACAAAAAGAGATTATATTGTTGCTTTGTAGATCATTCAAAAGCTTTTGACTTAATTGACGGATCTAAGTTATGGTACAAGATACAAACAGAGGGTATACAAGGAAAAATGTTATGCATTATTAAGTCGTTATATAAGAATGTTAGAGCCTGTTTAAAACAGCAAGGTACATTGACTGACACATTTCGTATATCTGCGGGTTTTCTGCAGGGGGAAATATTATCGCCTGTATTATTTTCCATGTATCTAAATGATTTTGAACGACATTTTATTGAAAATAATTGTGCTTCAGTTGAACTTCAAATGATTAATTTGTTTCTAATAATGTACGCAGATGATACAGTCTTAATAGCGAAATCAGTTGAAAGTTTACAAGGAATGTTAAACACTTTGTATAGCTATACAAAAGAATGACATTTAACTGTAAATGTACAAAAAACGAAAACTGTAGTTTTTAGAAATGGAAAGTATGTAAGAGATGAAGAAAAACTGACATATAATGGTAAAAATGTGGAAGTTGTAAATCAATTCAATTATTTAGGATTATTATTTAACTATAATGGTAAATTCTTATCTACACAGAAGCACTGTGCAACACAAGG